TAAATAGTTAATATTGTTAATAAATAAATGGTTGAAATTGTAGCTAAAAGAGGATGATAAAGTGATAGAATTGTGAGGTAAATGAAATCAATAAATTGTTGAAATTTTAGCTGAAAGCAGGAAATAAATCGTTAAAATTGTAGTTAAAAGTAGCAGATAAATACTTGAAATCATGGCTAAAAGTAAGAAATAAATGGTTAAAAATGGGAGTTAAATACAATTAATGAAGAGTTAAAATTATAGCTGAAAGTTGCGGATAAACAGTTTATAATTTGAGCTAAATATAAATAATAGTTAAAATTATAGCTAAACGTTGTGACTAAATAGTAGAAACTGGAGTTAAAAGTAAGCGATAAAAAGGAGAAATTATTCACCAGAAGTTGAGGATAAATGATTGAAATTACAGCTAAAAGTAAGAAATTAATTAACAATTAAGAACAATTAATGAATAGTTGAAAATATAGCTAAACAATAAATAGTTAATATTTTGAGATAAATATAATTAATAAATGGTTCAAATTGTTGATAAAAGAAGATGACAAATAGAAGAAATCAGAGCTACAAGTAGATGACAAACAGTTGTCATTTTGAGCTAAATAAAATTAATAAATAATTGACTAAAATCTGTTTTTTTTTCACTGCAGTGAGTAGTTTAGACGTGTACGATGCTTCAGAACAACAAAAACCCTCCAAGTCTCACATTTAAGCGGCAGAAACTCTATTTTACTTCCTGTTTGCTCGATAAATGTCTATTTATGAAATAAATCTGTTTATTTATAGCCTCGTGTGTCGTTACCGTGGCGACAAGTTGTCCAAACAGCCAAAACAAATGCAGCAAATTAAACCGTTACATCGATGGCGTACGAGCAAACGTACGAGTCGCTTATGATCAGCTCCGTGTTTAACTTTCTCGTTATTTTACTGTTGTGTTAAACTTTGTGCCTCGTATGGAAGGATGAGGGATTTATTCCAGAGCTGCTGCTGCTGCCGGCTTCAAATTTCAAAAAATGACGAACAAACTTAACGTCATCACCGAGGCCTCTGTGATGCTAAAAGAGTTCCGAAAGTCAGTGAAAAATTCACATTTATCGCGTTTATCGCCCACTTTTCCAGATGCTGCAGATAAATGTTGTAGATTAATTGAATAATTCTGTGAAATAACACAACTGTGATGTTAATTAAATGAAAGCAACATTCAAACTGTTGTATTTATGTTGTTATTCTGTGATTTTAGTCTATTTAATAGAGGTTTTCTGTTTTCTACCAGTGGAAATTTGTATTTAAATCCAGCCAAGGGAAAATCTTAAATTATGTTTGATATTTTTCTGTAATTTCTTTTTTGCACAAATTTGTGAAATTGTGAAATACAGAAAAAATATACAAAGAAAAGTCTGTAATTTTACACTTTTTCATAGTTAAAAGATATTTTACTGTAATTTTATAGGCACTATTTGTTGCCAGAAATGTCACAATTTCTTTTCTTTCTTTTTTTACTACACTAATAAAAACATAATTGATAATAATATATTCTGCATCTGCAGCTAGATCTCTATAAATCCTACAAAGTGGACTTTTATTGTGAAAGAACTGAATTATTTAAGCCAACTTGAGATCTTTTAATCACGAGAAACGATCTCCTAATCATAAGATAAACGTCTATGTGACCTGATTAGAAGCTAAAAATCCACATATTTAATCAGACTTCATGCTTTTATTTTGATAGCGGCGGTTGAAAGAGCGGCTCCATAGTAAACACTGGGTGTATTTAGCGTCATCACAGGGCCTTGTTGATGTTTAAAGGGCTCTGAAAGTAACTCCAGGCAGATTTATTAACTCTCCATCGACCGCCTCCTCCCCGGTCTGTGGCCGGAGATGCTGATGCTGCAGCAGATTCGCTTCCTGCTCCTCTAAGCCGCTCCCACTGACCCACATAAGAGCGTTTCCTATCACAAAGGCCCCCGTGGAGCATCAGCGTGTGATTATCAGCTGACGAAAGCCCTCGTGACGCCGCCACCGTCGCTGCTTTCACTGTTTTCTGTTCGCCGACGTGCACCTTTTGTGTTTGTGCTTTTGCATGTGTGAAAATTTCTCTCGAGTGGGAGTCGGTGAACTAAATAAAACGCCTCCTGCTCGCGCTCGCCGGCTGATTTTTCATCCTGCAGTGCTGCTAAGTGGCCTAATACGTCTCCTAAGTCCTCGTTCCGGCTCCCCTGCAGATCCAGCGTAATCCCAGATTACATGCAGGAGATAAGCAGTAGATGGATACACAAGATTAGGCTGTTACTGATCAGCGACACTTGTAGCTCCGGTAGCCAAACCTGGTGAGCGGCCAACGTAAGCTGCAGGATGAGCTCTCGCTTTCATTTGTTCGTGGAATCCAATAAAAATCTGAGGTTTCGACCAATTTCTGAGTCAAAACAGATTAAAAGAAGCAGAGAAAACACATATATATGGAAAAAAAAGGCACTTATAGAGAGTATTTCTGCAGCTGGCAGCGGTGCAGCGGGATTAAACGGTTGCTCAGCTAATCTGAAAAAAACTGGAATTATGGTTTGTTTTGAAATTGCATGATTGCATTGATAAAAGCAGTTAAATTATTAAACATTTCAGATCTCCAAATGGAAAAGATGAAATACAAATGGCGTAAAAACAAAATGCCGTGGATGAGTTGTGGAAAATAGTTTGTCAGTGGTTGGTTTAGTCGCTAAAAGTAGTGCAT